GAAAGAAGGAAAAGGGAGGCAAGTGGAGATGACAACGACCGTACTTTCATATTCGAAAAGGGAAACAGACGAGGGCTTGCATTACCAAATTGGTATCAGAAATAGGATTCCCGACATAGACAACCGAATCAGCAATGGAATTTAGTTGCTGGAGATAAACCGTTACGGAAAGATCACATTTGGGATGGTGATAGAATTGCATTTTTAAGTGCAAAATTCTAGAACTAACTTGGTCATGAAACAATTGCTCAATGGTGAGCCAAGCTTCACATGCAGTAGGAGTGGAATTGGTTTTGATAATAACATGGAGAATATCAAAAGAAACAATGGCTTGAATCCAAGAAAGTACCAAATAATCAACTTATAACCAGTTCTTGTGCGCAGGATTAGGGAGTTGTTGATCGGATTCACCAGGTAGAAAAGGTGTTGGACGTGGAACAGTGCCATCAACATAACCATAAATGTCATGACTCTTAAGAACTAGGAGAAATAGTTCATGCTGGAGAAGATACTTTGAGAAGTCCAAAATGATGGAGATATAATTCTTGATATTGGAGATGGATTGGGCAGGATGAGGGTTGGAAGGGAAAGGAACATTAGATGGAGTTAAGGAAGAGATGATGGTATTAATAGAGGAAGAGGATATGGTGGTGGAAAACATGGTTCACAGCTTGAAAAAAAAATCAAGAATGTCTCCGAGGAGGCTTTGATACCATGTAGAAATATAGAATCCCTTAATTGAGGGAGTATTGCATTATCATATATATATATATAGAGAATTAAATGAGTATATTAGCAAAAATAACCCTACTGACTAATAGAGATTAATACAAAATGACCCCCTAATATGTATGTTGATGACATAATTATTAGTGATAGTGACTCAGAACGTATTGCATATTTTAAGACCCACCTGGGGAAGCAATTTCATACCAAAAGTTTAGATGTTCTTCGGTATTTTCTTGGAATTAAGGTTGTTTGGTCTAAAAAAGGTATTAATCAATGACAACAGAAATATGAACTAGTTTTATCGTTTAAAATTGGTACTCTTGGTGCACGTCTAGTTGATACTCCCATGGACTTTACAGCTAAGTTAGATGTTGAGAGTAGTGAAGTTTTTAATCATGTGGGGCGTTGTCGGAGGTTAGTTGGTAAACTAATTTATCTCACAATTACATGTCCCGATATTACCTATGCAGTTGGGGTAATTAGTCAATTCATGCATACTCCTTATAAGCCTGTCGTATTCTTTGATATTTGAAATGAGCACCGGGCAAAGGATTGTTATATTGTTCTTCATCATCTATGACTATTATTGAATTTTTTATGGTAACTGTGTAGGTAGTCATGTTGATAAACGATCTAATTCGAATTACTGTATCTCTATTTGGGTTAATCTTGTTACTTGGCACAACAAAAAACATGACATAGTTGCACGTTCGAGTGTAAAACTGAATAGTGGATCATGACTCATTCCGCATGTAAGTTATTGTGGGTTCATTCTCTACTTTAAGATATGGGCATTAACATGCCCTCTCATATGCAAAGACATTGGGACAATCACGTATCGACGTAGATTGTCACTTTATTCAAGATCTCTTGGTGCAAAAGGACATTATTACACCATACATCAAGTTGAGTGATTAGTTGTGTGATATTCTCAATGAATCATTGACTCGATCCGTCTTCAATAATTTTTGCTCCAAGTTGTCTTTATGCTCTAGCTTGAAGGGGAATGTTAGAGTTTTTATTTATTTTTTATTTTAAGTGTAGGGTAATGTTGTAATTAGTTATGAATATGAGTTATTATAAATAAGAATGTACAGGACAATATAGCTCATAAGACTAATTATTTTACATTTTTTTTGTCGCTTATCTCTTATTCTCTTCTTTCTCACTAGAGCAATGATAGAGATTCCAAAATTGGAATTTCAAATCAATAAGGATCATTGGATCAGTGGATTCCATTAAAAAAGTTGACAAGACCCTTTCATCTAATAGTCCTAGCTCGTCAATGGCTCTGGTCACGCACTAACCACATGAGACTAAACATACAAAAAATAAGAATTTTAGAGACCAAATAAACACAAATTATGAACTTTAGGAACCAAATATACACAAAATTACGAACCACATGATTGACACGTGACCAAAATTATCAAAGATTTTCTAATAGACGTTTAGATTGGACTATGTAAATACAAATTAGGAATCTTAAGGATCAAATAAATACAATTACAAGATTGGAAACCAAATAAACACTAATACATCATCCGGGAACCAAAAATGTATTTTACCATTAAACTTATCTACTTTATATATATATATATATATATATATATATATAGTGTTTTATGTTTGCACAAGGGTAAGAACATCTTCAACCTAGCTAGGTAAATCCATTTTTCAGCTATTTTGGCAAGGTTGGCTCCAACTGGCTAGCCATCTTACTAGTTAAAACCTAGGAGGACCATAATGCTAGCCAGATCTGGAGAGGGAGAAGAAGATCGACAGCTGCTCGAGCCTCTTCCTTCATTGTCTTCTCCAACGGTTGTTGCCAGGTATGTTCTTCATATTCTTCATCCCCCACCCCAAGTTGCAGATCCCTCCCCTAACCCATTTCGAAACCCATCTCCCCCCAACCCATTCTATAACCCACCTTCCCCCTCCCCCATTCTACAACCCACTCATTCTGAAAATCACATCCCCCTCCTTCCCCCCATGAACCCACCTTATCCTTGCCGAAACCCGAAACGCATTTTGAACCCCCCTCCCCCCAATTTTGAAAACCCTAATTTCAAAACAACCCCCATTCTAGAAACCCAATTTCGAACCCCCCAAATTCCAAAAACACCCCCTTAGTGCTATGTATAATGAAATATTTGATTTTAGACCCTATGAAATATTAATGCAAATATTTGTGAAAATCTTAGGTATATGAGACATGTATTGTGCAATTGGTTTGTGTTATTTGAAGTGATTGGGTGTTAAATTGGTATTAGGTTGTATTATTTGAAATTTGATTAGAATTATTGTTATGGTATAATTTTGGTTGGGTTGATGATACTATATGGTGTGAGTTGAATTACACGAAAACCCTTTTAGTGTTATGCATCACCATTGAAAATATGATCATCGTAAAATTTAAAATTTTGATGGCGAGTACGACACGACATCATGTCCCGTCATCATTATAGTGCCAACGTATTAGGCCACATGGTATTTTTAAATTATATTATTAAAAATTAATTAAATTTAGTTAAAATAATTAGTTAAAATAGAGAACATGATTAGAATAGATTTAAAAAAATTACTAATTAAAATAAAAAATATAATATCTATATAATAAAGTAACTTACAATTCAAATTTCAAAAGATAAACAAAATGACTTATGCTATTCGTGGTTGAGATCGCTTTAAATTTTACTTCAAAGTTAATTAAACGGCTAATATTAACACTCTAAATTTAATAAACAAAATAGAGCCATAAAGGTGTATTTGGAGTGATTTTTTAAAAGTACTTTTAAAAATTATTTCTCATAAATACTTTAAACAAAAATAGTTTTTGAAACCGCCCCGCCACCGCCACCCCTTCCACCGCCGCCACCACCACCACCGTCGTCATCGTCGTCGTCGCCGCCGCCACCACCACCACCATCGCCACCACTGCCACCGCTACTGCCACCACCATCGCTACCACCCCCCCCACCCACCGCCACTGCCCCCACCACTATCACCGTTATCGCCACCACCGTCGTCACCATCGCCTCCGTCACCCCCACCATCATCATCGCCGTCGCCCCCACCGCCGCCACCACCACGGTTATTGCCACTCACCATAACCATTACCGTCTCCTACCACCACCACTGCGCTCCACCACCTCTCACCCACACTACAAACCGATACTTAAATTCTTTTATCTCTTTTCTATATTTATGGTTTGATTTTGAATATGAATATCAATATGTTTATTGTTTACCATTTTTTATTATTTTGTGCCTTCAAGCACAAATAATAACTAGTTTATATAATAAAGTACAATACAATTCAAATTCTAAAAGATAAACAAAATGACTTTTGCTTTTCGCAGTCCAGATCATTTGAAATTTTATTTTAAAGTTAATCTGACGACTAATATTAACTCCTTGAATTTTTAGGAAAAATAGACTCCCTAAATATGTGTTTGGGGTGATTTTTCAAAAGTGCTTCTCATAAGCACTTTAAAAAAAAAATAGTGTTTGAAATCGCCCTACTACCACCGCCTCCACCCCCACCATCGCCCCACCACCATTATCACCCCTATCCTACCACCATCACCGCCACTGTCGCCCTTATCTTACCACTATCACTGCCCCACCGTTACCACTGTCACTTTACCCCCATCGTCTATACCCAACTCCTACCACTATTACCACTACCGTCACCATCGCCACCACCTCTGCTACAACCACCATCGCTATTGTTACCATCGCTACCATCCCACTACCACTACTTCCGCTCATCTCGATTCCAATCGGTGCGTAAATTCCTTTCTCTCTCTCCTATCTTTGAAAATTAAATTTGTATGTGAATATAAATATACTTATTGTTAACAATTTTTTTTTTATTATTCCATATTTTCACACACGATAAATTTTTAGTTTCAATATATTTTAACTAATTATTTTATTGCGCTGGGTTGGAGCGACGCTAATGATATGAGCTGTAAAAAGAGTAATGTTACACTAATCAAATTTTAGGACCAAATTTAGAGCCAATTGATATGACAGTTGATTATTTAAAATTTTTATTGGAGTCCAAATAATATCACACCAATCAAAAAAATTTAAGTTAACTGTCATGTCATTTGACCTATAAATTTAATTCAAAAATTTGATCATCATTACTGCGGTAAGAAAGTCATTAGAGTTCCAAAACTCTCTCTCTTGATTGTGCTTATATTTGTCGTAATATCTCCGGCGGCTCTCTTTCTTGATTGTACTTATATTTGTAGCATCTCATTGAACTCCATGGCAGTCGGGAAATATCTGCCGCCGGCGGAACTCACCGGAAGCGGCCGTCCTGTCCTTCACTCCGGCGAGGTCGAGTGTTCTCTCCTCTCCTCCGTCGACCTCCTCTCCGAAGAAAACCCTGACTTTCCCCATCTCAGGTCTGGCCTCCTCATCCTCACCACCCATCGCCTCCTGTGGCTCCCTGACTCCAGTACTACCGCCGCCGCCGCCTTTGCAGTCCCACTTGCCGCCGTGTCCCACATCTTCTCGACCAAAAAATCAATCAAAACCATGTTCGCCAGTCCCAGAATTCGCTTCCAGGCACGTAATTTTAAATTCGCAACTTTATATTACATGCTTTGTTCCTACTTTTGTATTTTTGATCGTCTATATGGCATTTATGAATACAATATACCCATACTTTCTTAATTTGTGAAGTAGTGATTTTTTTATTGAAATTCATTATTTGGTTCTAGGTATCGTCAACGCTGGAAGGGAGGGTGGATGAGAGGGGTTTAAAGTCGGAGGTGATTACATTGGTGTTGAGGGGGAAGTCAGATCCAGATTCATTTTTGGGGAAACTTTGGGAGGCTTGGAGGGGGAGGGCGTGGGAGGTGTCAGCTTCCGAGGGTCCAAGTGGGTCGGGATTGGGTTCTGAGTCGGGGTATGGTGGATCAAGTGTAGCAGTGAGAATGCCGGTGGTGGGGGTGGCAGGAATTCTTAGAAAAGAACAGGAGATGTGGGAGAGTACTGATAAGAGCTTGCAAGAAGCTTTTCAGGACTTGAATGCTCTCATGGTATGTAAGTTTTTAGACTCCAATTATTAAACAATTTCATATTCAGGGGAAATGATTTAACACGGATTATGTTTTCAAATCTCCCCAGGAAGAATTAGGTTCAAAATTTAGGTTAGAACATACAGTGATTTATCACTAATAAGCAGTCAACTTATACAAAAAATTGGAAGTCAAAGGCACAACCACTGATGTTTTGTTGCTTGTGATAAATTTAGAAGTATTTTGTGCTGTCATATGACATAGTTAACATATGGAAATGTGACAATTACAATCACATACCTTCTGAATCTATTCGATTGTGAGGAATGCCGTGTTTAAAACTGAACAATGGTTGTAGTACTTTATGAAGATAGGAAAAAAATTCCACGTTGAAATGTTTAAAGACAATGCTGAACCAAAACTTTAGCAAACGAAGCGTTGCAGATTTTTCAGAATGTATGAGTGCTGCTGGTTCTCTCTCATGATGGTGAATTAAATTGCTAAGTTAGGGTTGGGCTTTGCTATGAATTTTATTGTTTTGATCTTATTGAATATCTTTGGTTTAAATTGTTTCAAGCATGAATGTCCTTTTTTACAGAGTAAGGCTAAAGAGATGGTGATGCTAGCAGAGAAAATGAGACTGAAACTTCTATCAGGCTCAAATAATCAAAGCAGTTCGACAAATGATGAGGAGATGGGTTCCAAAGAAGAAATGCAAGATTGGTTATTGAGTGTTGGTATTGTGTCCCCAGTTACGAAAGAATCCGCTGGTGCTTTGTATCACCAGCAGTTATCTCGTCAGGTTCTCTTCTGTCCTTTTGTATTTTATAAGATAGACTTTTTGGTGAACTTTTTTGGTAAATTACTCTGCAGGTTGTTTCTTAACTTCAGCATTTGCACATCAAAAGCAAAGATTTCATTCTTGGGATTTATACGTGTCAGGAAGTTTTGTTTTTAACCCATCAACTTAATCTTCGCTTTATAGAGTTTCTGTTAGGCATTATAGATCTAAACTAGATGGTCAGCTTAACATAATGTCTACTTAAGAGTTTAGTTGGCGATGCTTTATGAATTTAAGTCATAAATGAGAAATATGCAGTTGGATTTCCGTCAGATAGTTTTCCCATGCTTAAGCACTGTTATGTTTAATACATCAACCTTAGGGATTGTTTTATTGGTAAGGAGAATTTCAAAGTGTACCCTTGAATATTAATTTGATCAAGTATTTATTGAAGGGTGTTGAAAGTTCCCTACAGGCCTTACAAAGTTGACTTAACACGTGGTAACATAACACAGAGATGTTAAATTAAATCATAATTGGCCAAACAATGAAGGGCTGAAAGAGCGTGGAATAGGTAAAGTTGAAAAGAGTTATATTTCCAAATCTCTTTTTTTACCGTAAGATTTTTACCTCTACAAAGTTCATAGATCTCGGCCACTTTCCTCATTTTTAAATTGCCAACCCTCCACAAAACCACGGCCAATTACTTGGGCTTGATTGCAGGAGTTTTTTTTTTTTTTCAATTTTGTTTTGGTTAAGACTAATTTTTTTGAGTGGTTCAACAATATGCCCTCTGTCATTACTTTAATGCATAATAAATACCTGCTGTCCTTGTTATCGTGGCACCTTCAACTTGAATCATCACATTCCTTTACATTGGAGCAATGTTTTAATTATTTTTAACCAATCTATGAATGAAATCGTTTCATCAGGGTGTTTGACCATTGGATCAATGGGTTGAAATCTTTATTGCGTGGTTGACATTAAACATATGAAATACATTTGGGGAGACACCCTAACCCGACAAAGGTACCCAATTCCATGTGAAAGGAAATATCAATCCTTTACTGTATATCTATAGGAAAATATATTAGCTTTTTCACATGATATCTATTTTTTAGTAATCTTACCAAATTTTGGAGTTTCAAACAAGACGTCAAGTGGACAAGGTGTTTTTTCCTTAATTCACTAGTTAGACAGTCTTCTTGAAAAACTTCAATCGTCAAATACGATATGTCTATGCTATTGTATTTCTTATGAGGGCACACCTGCCTGCTTTTCTCTCTTCTAGCTCTTAGTCTGTGCTCTACTGGTCTTTGTGACATCAGTCGGTGGTAGCCGGTCCTCTCCTTTCCTGCAATACCTCTTCCCTACTAGCTTCTTTGAAATTTCTCTATTCCAATTGGTCTTCTGTATTTGATCAAAAAAAATGGTCTTCTGTCATCCTTCCTTGCAATTGTAAACATGTTCTCTTGTCTAGTTGACAGTTGCTTGATTTTCTTAAGCTAATTGCATTCCGGTTTGAGGGAGAGATTACTCTGATTGATTTGCGGCTCTTTTTTTCCTTGGCACTTTAGTCTTGGGCTTTTGTTCATGCAGAATCTAGTCTTCTTTCCATTGTTCCTTAAGGAGTTGTGTTAGGAATTATAGCCTTGACGTTCCTTGCTCTTATGGTAAATGATGAAATAGTGGTGGCCATTCTAACCATGGAAATTGGAAACAATCTTTTCTGATGGGTGAATGAAGTTTTGATAGTTGACTTCAAGTGAGATTCAATAAGTGATGCACACAAATGTTAACAATTAGGGAACTTGAGTGAACGCTAACTACGCCAATGACAAAAAGCACAATTCATTGGAGCAGCATTAATCATCATCGCTGATTGGAAATAATGGATTTTATTATCACGTTATTGATATTTTCTATCATTGTCACGGAGTTGGTGTCGAGCATTATTTGAATAATGCATTTGAAGATTATAAAAAATGTCTTCGTAAATTTGAAGCTTTTAGTTTTGAATAAAATTTCAAACATGAAATTTTTGATGAAATGAAGTAAAAAATCTTTAAATGAGATCTTTTGGACGAGGCTATAGATTTGATTGAAAATCAAGATGACTCAATCTGTGCTTGATTGTGTTACTTTAGTTCAAAATTCAATTGATAGGAGGCAATGAATAATCCATCACCAAGGATTTGGAGGGGGAAAATGCCTTTAAAAGTGCAAGTTTGTGCATGGATCATAGCTCATGGGAAAATTAGCACAAATGAGGTACTTGAACAGAGGAGATCAAATCTTTGTCTTTAACTGCAATGGTGTGTTATGTGTAGAGGCGATAGTGAGGATGTGGATCATTTATTTTAGCATTCACAAGTATTATGGAACAAGCTTTTGATTTTATGAGTTTTGCATGGGCTGCTCCAAGGACTATGACATCTATGATTTGTCTGGAAGATGTGGGAGTTGGGGGGAATAGAAAATGGGATATCGTTTGGCATAGTGCTTTCTTTGCTATTGTATGGGTGATATGAAAGGAAATGAATGTGAGGATTCTTGAGGACAAGTGGGAAGATTTTGAAGGTCTATGGAAAATGATCTATCTTTTTGGGCTTTTCTTCGGGTCTATGGAGATTTCCTTGGGTTTTACTTCTCAAATAACTGAAGGAAATGTGTATAAATTAAAGAAGTCTCTTTATGGATTGAAGCAATCTCCTAGAGTCTGATTTGATAGGTTTTTTAAAGTTATGCTGAAAATTGGATATAAAGTTATAAACATAGTCAGGCTGATCATATATACCATGTTCATCAACTAGGTGGATGACAAGATCACCATCCTTATTGTATATATGGATGATATAGTGATAACTGAAAATGATGAGAATGAAGTCACCAAATTGAAAGTTTAATTGGTTAAGGAGTTTGAAATCAAAGATTTGGATCAATTGAGATAATTCCTCGTGATTGAGGTTGTCATGTCGGATAAAGACACTTTTATCTCCTAGAGAAAATATATTCTTGACCTTCTAGAAGAAACAAAGATGTTGGGATGTAGACCTACTGATTCTCTTGTTGAAGTCAACCATCCACTTGGTGAGGTAGTAAGAAAGGAGAGATACCATCTAGGAAGCACGGATACTCCTCAGGGGGTCGACGTGGCGGTGTCGGACACGTGTCCGACACGGATACACATGGGATATGGCTAGATACGTGTCCGATACTTCCACAAGTGTCTTAAACAGTGAAGAATCACGGATACGGATACGGGGGTGATACTAAGGGATACGACACAACCATGGTTTTAAAATAAAAAAAAAAAGTGGGGAAGAAGATGATGTACCTGATCAGTGACAGTCATAGGTATGTCGTCTTCATCTTCAAGTCTCTCTCTCTCTCGCTCGATCGATCGCCGCCGCCTGAGTATTGCTTTCGTTTGGCTTGCCCTAGTCGCTGAAAAGCGATAATGGATTGCCTTTTTTTTTTTTGCTTGTTTTATTTATATTTCAGCCCCCATTATTTTCTTTTCTTTTCTTTTTTTCTTTGCCCTAGTTGCTAAAATAATTTACAAATAATCCTTGAACTTCTTATATTTTATGTTAAATTACAATTATACCCTATTAGTTGTCACCCACTATCCAATTTGGTTTAACCCACTGTCCATAACATATTAACCTACTAATCAAATTTAATATTAGCTCATTTGTCCACTTATAAAATATTAATTAATTACTCAATTTAATTATTATTGTTATTTATATATATATAATATTATTTTAATTAGTCGTATCATCGCCGTACCCGTATCCTATATTTTGAAATTTTGTTGTATCCTTGTGTCCGTATCGTATTAGATATGACACCTGTGTCCGTATCCGTGCTTCCTAGGATACCATAGAAGAGAGGGGAGATTAATCTATCTGTCACATACCCGATCGGATATTGCTAATGCACTGAGTGTTGTTAGTCAATTCATGTATGATTCTCGAGGTTCTCATTTTGAATTGTTTATCGCATTTTGAAGGTACCTTAAGTCAGCTCTAGAAAAATGGATCTTGTTCTCCAATAATGGTCATTTGAAACTCGAAGAATTTAGTGATGCAGACTGAGCATGTTCAGTAGATGATAGAAGATCAATTTCGGGCTATTGTACCTTGATTAGAGGTAATCTGTTTACATGGCGAAGCAATTAGTGGTTGCTAGGTCTAGTGCGGAGGCTGAATACAGAGCTATGGCCCATGAGATTTGTGAGATTTTGTGGCTTCGAACATTATTGAGAGAGCTAGGGTTTTCTGATGATGGACCTTTGGTTGTACTGTGACAACAAGTCTGTTATCAATATTGCCCACAATCCGTTTCAACGTGATAGAACAAAGCATGTTGAAATTGACCGACACTTTATTAAGGAGAAATTAAATAAGGGTTTGATTTGCTTGTCTTATGTGAAATCAGATAATCAGTTGGCTGTATCTTCATAAAAGGGCTTCATAGCAAGGTTTTTCATTCCATTATTTGGAAGTTGGGCATAAGAAATATATATGCACCAACTTAAGGGGGAGTGTTATGCTATGGATTAATACTAAAATAAGAGTACTTTAGTATTTTGCACTGGATGACTATATATATGTTGGTGTAGTTGTTTAACCTAATACAATATACACTTTTCTGAATCTCTTTCTTTCTTCTTCTTTCTCGTATTCTCCAAAACCCTAACCATTCAACCTTCTTTTTAGGATTTGAGTGAATGCTTTGGTAATTTTGAGTAGTAAGAGTTTGATTAGAAAATTATTTTAGAATTTGATTAGGAAACTATTTTATGATTTTAGTAGGAAAAGTAATTTTTGTTTTGGTAGAAGACTTGGACTGTGAATATTGATATAAAACCTATTATTTTATTAGAGTGTGATATCAATAAAATTAGTTATTGCAGAATCTGTATCTTTCTTGACCTTATCCTTGCGAGGGTTTGACATTCGTTATTCGGACTTCTTCTTTTTCTACTCTTTGATTTGTTCTCCTTCACGTTCTGCATTACCTTTATTTTTAACTGGCCTTAGGGTTATTCAGAGTTATATGTTCATAGAAACTATGTTGGCTTAATCATTTTATTTGTCGGTTTACTCAAAGTGTAATTTTTATGGTGTATATAGCATGGCAATAAATAGAGCTGTTATTTGTTTTTCACCCCTCAGCAACATAACTTATGTTTGAAATTTTAGTTCGAGTATTAATGATCCTATATGGTTTTTGATATGTTTGAAATGCTTTTTGTAGAGTTGAAGTTTTGGGTTTTGAATGTAGAACATTCATGTCGAATATGAATGTTTTGAAGAAATGAAGATAAAATTTGTTAATTGAGATATTTTGGATGAGGTTATATATTTGGCTGGAAATCAAGATTGCTCAATTTTTGAATTGTTGATAAACAATGTGTCCCCCCTCCCCCTCCCCTCTTCTCTCTTGGGTCAAGTGGCCTGTGGTGGATTTTTGTCTTTTCTTCACATTGAGTGCATAATTATTTTGAACTACGGAAAAGAAAGTATTTATGTTATTTAGTTTTTCATTTATTTGCCTTTGCTACATTGGCCTTCCACATGTGCTTATGTGATGGGTTGAAGCTGTAAAGGTGTTAGTTTGTTGTTCATTGTTGAAATATAAATATTTATGTTACACACTCTAACAACTTAAGGTTTTGGAATAGATGGTTGTTTGACATGGTATCAGAGTAGGAGGTCTTGTATTCGAATCTCATTGCCACCCAGATAATTGAAAATATTTTCACGTGGTAGACCCAAAATTTACCCAGCACGTGAGGGGGTGCGTTAAGGTATAAATACTCAAAATACATCATTTCTAACAACTTAAGTTTTTAGAGTAGATGGTTGTTTAACATGGTATCAGAGTAGGAGGTCTTGTATTCGAATCTCATTGCCACCCTAATAATTGAAAATATTTTCACATGGTAGACCCAAAATTTAACCAGCACGTGAGGGGTGCGTTGATGTATAAATACTCAAAATACATCATCTGTAACAACTTAAACTTTTGGAGTTGATGGTAGTTTAACATTCATCAATAAGTTGGTCAGTTGCAAAAGGGTCTTGAACCATGCCTCCTGCTATTCTTTTCATTCTCCACACCCCTCCCTGCAACCCCCAGCCCCCTAAGGAATAAAGAAAAGCAACAAAGAGAAATAATTTTCTTATCGAGTATCCTTTTAAAGTTTGAGCAGAAATTGGTGATGGTTTTATTTGTTTTTACTTGCTTCCTTGCATGGAAACAGGTTTACTTTTTATGCATATCTATTTACATTCATGTGCGTATTTACTTATGGATGTTTCTAAAAATCTTTGTTGGTTGGTACTTAGTTGGCAGATTTTGTCAAAATTCCACTGGAGAGAGCTGGAGGAATGATCAACCTTATAGATATTTATTGCCTCTTCAATCGTGCCCGTGGCACAGGTTCTATTCTGTAAAGTATCTATTTCTCAGCTGGCTTTACCTGTATTATCTGTTGTAAAGTGTTTTTTCCTTTCATTTTTTTTCATTCAGTTTTTCCATTTCTTCTTTCTTTCTTTCTTTC